AGCTCAATGGGCTGTGAGGAGTGCGTGCCAAGTGATCCCAGTAGCAACGAAAGTGGCTAGAAGCACGGAATTTCCCAGCTAATTGTCTCCCATACCCACTGGATCCTCGTGCAGATGTCGCGCACACCACAACACTTGCAGTGCCGTGTCATCGCAACCCGGATCACCTGATCGACAAACGGTTATTCTGAACAGTCTTGTTTACGGAAAACCGACACAAATTACCTCAGGGCCTTTGAGTAGGCTCACAAGATCTGTGTAATTGATTACGTCTTCTCCAGGCTTGTCATCATCTTCTTCGTCTGGTTCCACAAGAGCAAAATCAACCAGACGGCTTACAACTCGCACACGTGGATGCTTCTTGACGACACGTACTGCCTGAAGTACTTGTCGCCATATATGCTTGGAATAATCACACATTATTTTTCTATGCTGCTCAGAGGGTGTCGCCAAAGCGACTGTAAGATTTGAAATTTGGACTTGATTGAGTTATGTTCTTGTTTGTAAGTTTTTCTGTTATGTACTTGCATTCAGTTTGGTTCTTTTTGGTTTGATTTAGCCAAAGTCGATCGATCATGGCAGATCACTTACTGCCCAGACAATACAGCGATCTTGTAAGGGCAATCTGGCGAAAGGGCTAATGCCGTTTGGACTCCAAGAATTTCGGCACCCAGCCCATTTTTAAATTGCCTAAGTCACCAAATCCGCCAAAAACTTGTATATAGGGGTAGTTTAACATCCTGATTAAGAATATGACATTCACTTTTGTCGCTGGCGTCAAGAGAGGACACTAGGATCACCTCCTAGGCTCAGCCTTAGCAGAGCGCAGATAATCGTGCGTGTCTCTTGACGCCAGCGACAAAAGTGAATGTCATATTCTTAATCAGGATGTTAAACTACCCCTATATACAAATTTTTAGCAGATTTGGTGACTTAGGCAATTTAAAAATGAGCTCGGTGCCGAAATTCTTGGAGTCCAAACGGCATTAGCCGCGGAAGGCGTCAAAAAGAGCCGCTAGACAGTACTTCCCGTCAATATTGAGCACGTCCCACTGAGCTCATTTCTATTGCTGGGGTTTGTTATAAACTGTTCAAGTTTTTGCGGTTCTCCTCTTTCTGCCACTCAAATCAATTATCAACCAATCATCTCGTGTAGGGTGTCGGTAATCAAGTGTTCAAAGTCACTCCGTGGCTGGATTTCAGGGATCCATAGGCGAGCGAACACACCCACGCAGTACGATAGAAGGAGCGAACGACTCTCTGATGCCTGAGTTTATCAGCTGTTTCCAGGTCTTTTCTCAACTTGTCACGTCACTGTCACATACCTTTCTCCAGCCGAAAATCTGTGAAAGTTTAATTGCACATTTTTCCTCATTAGTTAGCAGGGCTTCTGGTGGCCACTGAAATTATATTCTATTCGAAGCTAATTCGACATTTCCTCTCAAGAAAACGAGCCATTAAGCTCCCACATCAGAAACTGTAGAATAGCCAACATAATCTTTAGAGTAGGTCGGACTAAGTTGATCGAGTTGTGGCTCCTTAGCAGCGCATTTATCCATAAAGTTCTGAAAGGTGAAGAATCTTTCGCATGAACCCAAATTTCAGCAGAACTTCGAATTTCGCCTCTACCTTCCCATCGGTGGATTCCGCTGACTTCGTAGAGGAGCCTTCAGTGTCCAAAGGAGGCGATTTGGGTGAAGTACCAGAATTCTTGAAATAACCATTGTAGTGATGTGATGATGAGCTGGATCCTGTCGTCGATGTTTCTGAACTGCCATACGATCCGCTCTTATGCGGTCGGAGACGATAAATGGAGTTAGGATTACCCAGATAGTTGGGCAACGAGGGTGAATCGGTAAAGCGAGGTTCATCCTGAAAGAAAACAGCCAGTCCGGGCCCCATATGTACCCTTATGAGGGGTTCTCACATCAAACGTATCCTTTGGTGGTCGAAGGTACTCCGGGAGGAACTCATCTTGCTGCTTATCGCTACTGTCACCGGACATCAGTCTCGTTTCATGCGATCGATATGCACTTGTTGAGTGACTGAAAATAAGAGTCATGACTTGAGAACAGCATTTTTATCGGGGGGGGGGGGTGCATAAATATCGAAACGGAGGCCTCGAAACTGTGCTTTGATGGTGGAACGACATGACAGTGGTGTAGCTGATAAACGAAGGGGTGGGAACGATTAAAGCGTGACAGAGCCCTGGCGCGGTTACCAAGCAATTTCGAGCCAAAGAATGGGATATTCTCTCCCGTTACGCAACGCGCTAACTGATCCAGGGCTTCTGCACGATGCTTTCTGGCGGACTGTCTTTAACAAAAACGTACTCAATGTCGTATCTTCGATGTACTTCTCTGATGTATCGCCTTCCACTCCCTTGATTAGTTCTCGGTGCTCGGCTGTACTTGCTGAAACTTCAGTGTTGCGGAATGACTTCATCATATTCCGCTACTGCGATCCAATGTTCAAAGATAGGCCTTTTACGTTCTTTCGCCTGTCCATGTCAGAGACGCGCTTGTATGATGTATAAATAGATAATAGGCAGATTAAAAATGGGAGAATTCCAGCTGACAAGTAGACTCGTAAAAAAAGCCCGAGTGAGATGGTCCCAAGCCCCGTCCAATCCAAGTCGAAGCAACCCCCAGATGATTGTCTGTGCTAACTTGCACCCCCCCCTCTACTCCAGCGACAGTCATAGCGGCCCTAAACCGAGGTTAGCTTCTGCGTCGCAACGAGTGTTTCTAACTTTGACCGTGTGAAAGTGGGCCCTTTATCACAGGCAGGTGTTTTGCGGGAACCCCACGTTGCGGCCATATCCAGCAAGAGACCTAGCTAAGAAATACTGTTATAGCGCACTGCGATGCAACGACTTCGGAAGTATATGCCGCCAACCCGCAACCCGTCAGCGTGGATCTGCGGCACTGCCTTGTCGCGAACTGATTACTATGGATATCATAACCATGTGGTATCATCCCCACGGAGGCAAACCTTGCAAGGTGGTGAAGAGGAGAGACGAATGAGGTGTGGACGGATGAGGAATGGTAGGGCCACCTTCGCCACACACAACGAGAGTGGGGTGCTCCTCCAAGCTCGACCAAACTGTAGAAGTATGAATGGAGCAAGAAAATCTTTTCTGAAACTTACAGGAAATTTTCAAGCTTACCGTCAGACGATCCACGACTGACAGAAGACATCCCATCACTGGATGAACTGAAATGGGTTACCGTCGGGTATATTGAGTTCTTCTGCAAAGCAGTTCGAAAGTCAGGGTCCGTTCTAGCGAGCACCCCTCCTCCTCCTCCTTCCCTCCCCCAATTTTCTCTTCCGGTACGATCCTCTCTCACAACAAACTGACCATCTTACCGATTTCTCTCTCACGTTTTGCAGTCGTATGGGTGGAAGGGTAGACATCTCGATGATGCTACCGTAAAGTTTAGAAATAGGTAGTTTCGCGAAGTTAAACGTCCCCTTAAGCAGACATGGGGGGGGGCGTGAAGCGAAGGAACTCAACCATGGGAAAGAAATGTCCCAGACTAGAGACGTCCCTCCTAAGTTCCAGCCACCGAATACGACTTCACCCTAAAGGGAATCCTCAGCGTAGGACGCGCCCTGGTAGAAGTAGCTCACAGACTTACTCGTAGCCGAATCTTCTGCTCATACCACGTGCATAACTGTAGCCTTTTCCATCGGCAGGGTTTGTCTCCGGTGGATGAACTCTTCGGTGAGCATGTGCGAGGCATCTGGGAGGTAATTTCACTGGTGGTAAAGGCATCGATGGTTTGAACGACATCACAGCATGCAGAAGTGTACGCCATGCAACTGAAAACTGTAAATTCCAGCGCCAAAAGCATTGCAAGTGTAAGACACGCCCACCCTGATCAGGAACCAGTGCACAGAGTTTCGTGAGCCAGTGTCGCTGATCGCGGAGCACCATTTGCTGTACGGAACATCGCGGCCAGTCTGGATCCGACAATGGGCATTCCAAGGTTGACTGAAATAATTTTTCCTGGGCATGAGGCGAAATTCGATTTCACAGCAGAAAAGTGGAGCGTTGAATTTTTAGGTGCCATACCCGAAGCGACGGTCCACAGCGTCCAAGTGGGCCATCGACAGGAAAGATGATGTCATTGTGATTGAACGACGGCATGAGAAGTCTAAACAAGCTGGAATTGAGTAACCAGCCCAAGGGGAAAAACCAAAAGAGGATCTGTCGTTCCCTCATACCTCTTCTCAACGGTACGATCTAATGGTTGGCGCTTTCTTCGAGATTATTTGTGGCATTTGCGAGTCGCGCTAGCTAGCATGCCAACTCAGTGTCAGCAGCCCGATTCGCGAGAATTCGATTCACTTCCGTGTATTTCTCACTTCCGTACCCTGTAACGTGCTCGGATGACGTTGTGTTATCATCACTCATTGCTGTATCCTGCGTTCCTGCGGATAATATCAGCGTTCAAACTTTTGCGATGAATATGCGCGTGCCATCCATTGCGGATGAAGCGCTTCTATGCTGTAAGAAGTAAACTGCCAGCTCCAGATCGGAAATCATTTCGATCGGCGCCAGGACGAAATAGGCACTGTTTCTCACAGTCTTGGTGCCCTAATATTCTCCCATAGTACCTCCCGAAACAGGAGCGGCCGATCAACAACCGTCTCGGCTTGGTTCCAACGATGTCTGGATAGACACAGTTGACGTCTGCCTCTGTGATGGGTAGCGCGTTCAACGCCACGTTACTTGGCGCGTTGCGGCTGTTCCAGTCTTAGTTGGTTGTTACACGCTGCCTCAGCACCTTGCAGGGAAGCGAGAGCTAATGTAAGACGCCGTCTCGGAAGTGCACGCATTTTCTAGTGGAAGCCATCCGAGAAGATTGATACGAATGCCGGAAGCTGACAGCCTTCCACTCCAGGCATGGAACATGGGATGGTACCAGGTGGTGAACTCGATGAAGATTCATTCTTGAACAATGCCATCAACTCAGCCTGCCACGATTACGAAACTTGTCCCGATAAGCTCTATGTAACAATAGGCGGTAGCATTGGCAACACAGTCTGAGAACATGCGGTTATCTTTTCTTTGTCAGTTAAGTTGATGAATGAATGTTGTCTCATCGGAGCTACGTCCGATGATACATCTTAAAATAGCGTCGGGTGACGATGTGTATTGGGAATAATCTAGGAAATTTCCCGCAAAAAAAGTCCTAGGTAGCATGAAGGTCGTGATGTGTGAACCCCCTACCTTCAAAGTAGGGTCTCGATGCGCCGCCGCCCCCCCCCCTCTACCGTAAAGAGAAGGCTCTCAGTACGCCCTTTTCCTCAACACCTACCTACCAAATTCTGCCCACCGTTTTTCCACTTTCACCCAAAAATTGCGTCGAAGCAGGGAGGGAGGGGGAAGGGGGGAGCGGAGGGGGGGGTGGAGGTATCATAGTATCCAGTGAAAACAGGAAGCATAATCATAAAAACTGCAATCAACCGGCGAAATTTTTTTCGTAACGCGGCGGATTTCTTTGAAGAAACATTACGTCTTCCTCTCGCCAACAACGACCAGATACAACCCCCTTCTCCAGAACGTACGCCCCTCCCCATGTGTTCCACACAACGATGCTGTACCCAAGAGCATGAATCTGAGATCCGAACCGATCAGATAGCTGATCTAAAAGATTTCTCCTACGTATTGAGGAGCTAAAGTCTCGTGGTCCATCAATGTAGGGAAGGATGTATCTATTGAAAAACGTTGGTTTCTCCCGTATCCTCGTTTACGTCCCATATTTATTGCTCCTTGCCTTTTTCGTAAGTTACGGATGATTTCAATATTTGAGTCTTTTCTTGTAACAGAGAATACAAGCCATGATGGTTCCGTGAGCTGCTCGTGCGTACTCTCAACTGTAGGCGAAACCGTTGACGGCGGTTCTGCATCAGTATGTTTTTAGAAGGGCGTATTTTTTTTGACTCTAAAGTTGTGTTGACAAAGGCACGCCACTCATGCGAAGGTGATGCATCGCCATCTGCCCACACTACTGTCCACGCCTCATTTCTTGAAGGCTCCCTGGGTAGGACGGTTGTTCCCTACTGCATCTTTCGTTCCGAGTGTGAGAGCTAATAGTGGCAGGGATGGTGGCGCTGATAAGAGAAAGCAGCTGATTTTGTTATGATATCAACAACCGCGCTCATCCTTTGCTGTATGCTCGAACAAGCGGCGGCAACTAACAGGGGGGCCAAAAAAAGTCATTTTGCCTCCAATGACTTTCAAGGCGCTATAAGTTACACTTTATTGAATTTTTATCGGACATTTTTACTACCATATTAAAGAGCACATTAAATACTATAATGATACTCCGCCACAGCCTTCTGGAGGAGCGCCATCGAGAGATTCGGCCGCGCGAAAGTGAGTGGGTACCGGAGTGATATTCCACCTTACTGCAGTACTCGACGCCCTTCCATTCGAAGTAGGCGGGAGTTTTTCCAAAACCCTTCGATTCCATGTGGTGGCACCCAAACCTGTAGCAGCACAAGGTCTCCAAGAAGGTACGGGCGACCACATGTAGGGAATAGTTCGATTCACTGTTACTTGATGTAACCGCCAGCGCTCACCTTCAGTCGGGGTCTACAAAGAAAATATCGGTCTTCCCATTCCAGGTACGGCCGGTCCACACCATCAACCCGCGCCTTGGTGAATGGGGTGAAGATGATGTCCTGGACCGTAGCGACGTTGCCGGAGCTGCTCGATGTTTGAGGTCTTGCAGATCAAGAGTACTGGTCTCCAGGTAGCTATCCATGGGTGATTCCATTCAAGAAGTTCCGCAGCTGTTTAGAGGCCACGTGAATTCCAAAGGCGTTCTCCACTCAGGCCGCGACTGGAGATGACTTCATATGGCGGCAGCCGGCTCCTGCTTATAGAGGAAGATCTTGGGTATCTTCCGCCCTGGTACTCATATCCACTTCCTCTGTCTGGGCTGCGAAAACTTCGCTCATATGTGACTCGGCCGGAATGACTTTTTTTGGCCCCCCTGTACATATTACTTATAACTTTTGATTAACTTGTTTCCCTCCCCTCCCTTCTGGTTTTACGAGGTGTGCTTCTGAAGGCACGTCCCGAGTTTGAAAATGAAGAGCTCTTACGTGCATAAGGCGGAGAAAGGGCGCGGTTGGACGCTTGTTGGTGCCAGCTCTCTCTCCTCATCACCACAGTTCCACCATTCGAGACGGAGAGAGTCAGCAGCGGAACAACAGCACGACCAAAAAGCATTAGGAAATGTAGCTGGGCGTCGCCGCGGTCAGCGGGAGGGGTCATGAAACCGTCGGAGGCGGGCGGTGCGTTATCTTTGGTTTGCAACAATCCCTTACGTGTTACGACATGCCATCGGACAACATATCGCATATACAAGTGTGTCAGAACATGTTGTGTGATAGTCATGACACTTGAGGAAGAGTTCTCCATGTCCGTGTAACAACGGGAAATGGACAAGACAATCGTAATCCGCCGCCGGCATGCGGCGATGCGCGACGAGTTCATTCTGTGCACCGTACATCAAATGGATCAGCGAAACTCTGAACTTGAGCGGAGAGGAGACTCCATGACGGACGATATCGAGTTTTTCCATCCTTTTGGAACCCATATGACCAGGCAGGACAACTCGTCCGTGGTCGCTCGCCACGCCAACCATTGCGGCATATTCCGATTGTCTTGTCACACACCCTTTCACATTGCTACCCCCGACTGCGGTAGCGCCGTCTTGTTTGCTTGACCGCTCTGCATATGAACGAAATGAAAGATATGACCCTCTATCACCTCTATCAGCTGTTTACTACAACAAGCTACACATATCAGAAAGAAGCTGAATTTGTGAAAACCGATGACGAGCGGTCAGCCACATCTCGAAACTTCATCCATTCTGTGATTCGATTGAGTCAGTAAATCTGCTCACCTGGTGCCCCCTTGAAATGAAGTACCACAGAGCGATTGTAACTCCACGAACATTCAGTCGTTTGTCCTTGTCGCACTGCGTGTATCTGTAGTTGCTGAACATGAATCTTGGGAAACCATCGCTTTTGGGGCTGTAGCTCCATGATCGCAGCCAGCCACACGACTGAGCACAATTTCAGCTCCTATAGGCTCCTTCGATGCGGATGCTTGGGCATTACAGGGAACTGGGTTTGGCACCCGTCGGTCCGTTTTCTAACGATCATCGTCGCTTGCTCTCCCCAATAATTGGTGAAGGGTGGGCGTCCCAAGAAGCCCAGCTCCCGTAAAATGCCCCAGAATCCGCTGCAAAGAAGACTGCACTTCAGAAGTAGCCGCGGCTGCGGTGAGCTGGCTCTTAGCTCCAAATACAACCCGAGACAACTTTTTGCCTCGTGAAATACTTCTCCAGATTGGTTCCCTGGTACCACCTAAACTTTTGAGAACCAATCGATTGGAACATATGAAATCGGAACTCACGCATAGCCGACTTCTACTGCATTGATATAGATTGGCCTGAGCAGAGTGTGGTTCCTTCTTTCGGTGAGCAGACCGGTGGAATCGTCGCCACGAGCCGACAGCGGCTCACCTTCGTCCCACTCGTAGCTCAGCATCAGGAAGGAATGAACATCACCTCAGTCGAGTAAATGAAGCTCAGTTGCTGTATCAAAGAAGTTATGCAACAAACAGTTCAGGAACCATTCTCTGCTTCACAAACACGGTAAGCGGTAGCACTTGAATCTTAACTTCCTCTAAATAGGGGATCATGGAGTGTTGGCCAGGAAATCCAAGTAGTAAGAGCGCGGCAGACTGAACGATGATAAGCTCCAGTATTCCAGGTCAATTAACCAGGCAACACTGGCGTGCCGAGCGGCTTTCGCGCAACCTCAGCTCCTTTGCCTGTGTACCAGCTTGTCCTTCCTTATGTAGCGATTAGTATGTAGGAAAGCAATCGTTATATCTCGCGCTAGTGGCGTGATGGGCGACGCCGCGTCCGAGGGACGAGTTGTCCTGTCTAGCCGTCCAAACAAGACTGTCAAAGAGGTGCGCATGGAGACGCGACAATTTACGTCTATTTTGTTCCACTCTTCCCCCCCCTACCCATGAGCATGCCCCATCTAGCTCGCCTACCATTTACAAAATGGAAAAAAATAAAAGACTATTTGAATGAAGTTTCAATAAGAATGCGAAACGAGAACCAATGATGGCTGAAGAAATGTAAAAAGCTGTGAATGTTCTGTCCAGCGAAAAAAAGCGTTCATAGTTTGCTGGACCGCAACCGCACCACTCAAGTGATTCTGCGGCCGTCCTCCTTCGAATTTGTGAGACCAGTTCAGTCGTTATCCGCTGCGGATGCACGAAA